TATTCCCCCCTCCCTTCACTTATTCCCCCCCTCCTTCATTTATCCCCCCCCTCTCCTTCACTTACTCCCCTCCCTTCACTTACTTCCCCCCCTCACCTCTCCTCCCCTCCCCTGTAGCGTGGCCGAGCTGCTCGCTGGTCCGCGGTGCCCGGTCGGACTGATAGGAAGGTGCACACTCAGTGTGCACTTCCTGTCAGTCCGGCCGGCTACAGGACACAGAAACTCCGCGCGGAACAGAATTTCCTGTTCCGCGCGGAGTTTCTGTTTCCTGTAACCGGCCGGACTGACAGGAAGTGCACACTGAGTGTGCACCTTCCTATCAGTCCGGCTGGGCACCGCGGGCCAGCGAGCAGCTCGGCCATGCTACAGGGGAGGGGAGGAGAAGAGCAGCTGCAGCCGCCTGAGGCTCTTCACAGAGCGCTCAGGCGGCTGCAGCATTTAAAGGGCCGGCCCTGCAGCGGCCGGTCCTGACAGAATTTAGGGTGGCCTGGGGGGCAATTGCCTCCCTGCCCCCCGGCCCAGCCCGCCCCTGCGTGTTTGGGTTTTCTGTGGATTTACACACTGCATGATGGGTTATCACACGAACGTGATATTCAGTCACCCAGTGTGTTCGCTTATTACGTATTTGATCTCCTGTTCTTTTAATTGAACTTGAATTGCACATAGGAAATTTCCCAAGGCTCTAGGCCATTAGCAGAGCAGGAGACAAGAAATAATTAATTAAACAGACTTTAGGATATATGCAGGAGAGGTGCGACTACATAAACAAAATGATTTAACACCTAAATGGCAGAAAAATGAGCAGAGAGACTGCAGGGCCATGATCTATACACCAAAAGCACTCAATTAAGCTGAAGTTGTTTTGGTGCTTATACTATTTCTTAACCATTATTGTGAAAAGGCAGTGACCATTTCTCTTTATTTAAATCAGCAAAGTAGTGATGTTATATTTTAAAATAAAACCTATGCAGATGCAACTTAGTAGGGCTTGGGTGCTTGATTATATATGCCATTATGGAAATATCTGACTTACTAGCAATTACAAGGATCAGAGGTCTGTGTAATATTACACACTCAGAAACAGATGTTTGGCTTCTTTGATGTATTAAATAAACCTTTCAAAATTGGAAACAAAAACCGACGTCAAAGCAAAACAAAAAAATCTGCCCTAAACTATATGTGAGACAAAACACAATAATGATAATAATGAAAATGAAATAATTAGGCATTTAAATGTGTTTGTTTTCTAAGTAAAGAAGGGATATGTAAAATGGCAAATATGTTTGAACAAACATTTCCCTTTTATGTCTGACTAATAAATGATTATTTATTATATTTTTGTATCTCAAAAGCTGAATTATTCCCTACAATTCTGAACAATTCACACTTTAGTTAATAAACCTATACATATAATTCACCTATTGGCTGACAACTTACAAAAGTAAATGTTAAAAAACAACACATATTCACAGTATGACAAAGAATAAATAAATATATATATATATATATATGTGTGTGTGGTCTGAGTAATATTGCCGTAAGAGTTAGATAACACATAAATAGTAATAAATATCATAGTTAATAGCACCAGTTGGTTGTGGTGTGCCGGAACCGACAATGCAGTAGGCCTGTAATACAGAGTGCCCATCTTAGAGAGTGATGTGAAAATAGGGAGTGGTGGGAGGGGCAAGTTGCCAGGTCAATAACAGTATGCAAGAGAGGATTGGAGGCCCTAAAAGGGGGACCCAAGCCCCTCCCACAACTACAGGCCCAGCCTTAAATTAGCGGCCTGGGCAATATTGCAATAAGAGTTATATAACACATAAATATTAATAAATATCATAGTTAATAACACCAGTCAATAGTGGAGCAGTAGGCCTGTAATAAAGAGGTGTACCATACAAAATGTATTTGTTCTACAATACATCAAAATTACTTGGATAAGTCTTAATATGCCTGACGAATCCCTTTAATCAGTTCTGGTATATATAATGTATAAGTGTATGATCCCCAGCGTCCCATGGCCTTGAAATAATATAAACCACTTAATGCCATGAAGATACCAAAGTGAGGGGTGGGTAGTAAGTAGTTTAAATGCATTGATAATATCAGTTTCACTGAGCCATGCACTTGCCCCAGCAGCAAGAATTGCCCAGGTGGCATTGTGAATGGTGGAGTAAGGAGAATTCTTCTGAGAGTATGAGGGAGTTAAGACTAGGAAACGTGGAGGAATGTGGTGCTGATAGGTCAAAGATCAACCTGTGTTTACGTGAAGATTTACGAGTGACTATACCAATAGGATTTGTCCTCCAAGAAGTAAAAGGAGGGGACCTAAATGGCCTGAAAATAATTCCCTATCCAAACCTAGTCTTAAGTAGTTTATCAATCAATTCGGGATCTGCTAGTGCAGTCTGCAAATTATTGCATCCAACCTGCATGAAACCCAGGTGATAACCCATCAGTGTGTATGAAACTCCTGTGATACCCCATCAATGAGATAGTTAACCAAGTGTTCTAAAGGGGTTGTATTGTAATAATTCAGCAAAATACATAACCTTAATACTTGTGAGGTACGATTTAGGGAACATTTTAATAGGGCACATGGATTTGGCATAAGCCCGGAAACAGTAGGAGCAAACGTGCAATAACCTGCAAGAACTGAACCAGAAGTATCCACATTGAATTTATTGCAACTTTGGGACTTGCACAGAAAGACAATCCCTAATCCCTTATTAGCTTATCCCTAATTACCTTATCAGATTTCGTAGCTGTGTAAGGAACTGAGTTGCCCTGTGAAACTACTGCCATGTTAGGCCATAGGTTTGTTAGTGCACAAGCTGTGAAACTTCTGTCGTGCTAGGCCATAAGTTCATTGAGTGCACAAGAGTTCTGAGGCCTGCAAAGTGTCTGCAGAATAACTCAGTATCTAGTCTACTCCAATCCATATTAAAGTTAAACTGAGTCGGAGCGGCAGCCCCTTTTGCTGAAAATGAATGGTGCTAATCATAGAAGTCTGTACCACTGTATTTGTGTCCCAGATCCACCAGCTTGTGCATATACACATCCAGTTCCTCTCGTTTCTCGGGATAGACAGAGCAATACACATCCATATAAGTACTATTACCATTAGTGTGAAACCTAATTGGTACTGGCAGACTAGCTATTGACAAGTGGCGAAACATTCAACTAAAAGGGTGACAGGTGAGGCCCTACTAGTTGCTAATTGGCTTGAGAGGCTCTAATTATGTGTTGGAAGAGGGGATTTTGTGTCCACCAAACGTTGTGGCGGGGTGTTGGCCTCTCGGTGACAATTAAAGCAGAAGATAGTATGGGAGTGAAAGGTGAGGCCCTCTCTATGCAACCATGCGAGGCGAATATCTATGCGTTGGACCGATGGGCATATACCTCCGAGTATGAGGGTGAGTGTTGGCCTCGTGGGACCACTAGCCTATGGCACAGAGGCCAGAAAATATACACTATTGGCACCTAAAAGCCAGTAACATCTGCTAATAAGGGACTACGAAATTTAAGTAACACCTAAATGTCGTACCTGAGACAGTAAGAATCTGAAATGTTGATTCACAGTAGAAGTAGAGTAAGGGGGGGAAGTATTAAGGATAGTATCTGATAATGTAAAAATATGTGTGCACCAGATCGTGGACCAACATAATTGAAGGTAACCTACTCGAATTGCTGGATATGAGGTGAAAATGGCAAATACTGTCACGAAATGATGAGCACCTTGTGACTTGAAAAATGCTGGCCAGATAGTGTCACCTAATAAAGTCAAACATGACCATAAAACAACAGAAGAGAGTTGAAGGTTATAACATAAATACTGAACAAAATGTGCCCAACCTAGAGGTGACAACTTTGATGAGCTACCAAAAGACAGGATCAAATGCCCCTGAATAACATTTTATGAATGAACCTGCGTGTATAAAATAACAACACATAGATGTCAACCAAATAGCAGGTTTCAGCATTAAATATTAAATATAACTTCAACCTCCTGCCAAGATAATACTATATCATGCAAAATTTAAAATTAATCTGTAATATTATATTGAACCAGTAGGTGGGACCTTAACCAGGAATAGTTAAAATATACGACCAATTCGTTTCAATTCCTTTCGCCTCTGGATTTAGAATTGAAAGGCAATCGGTAGTATTCACACGAACACCCTATACTTTGAACAGCTGCTCGTGTGTTTCCGATATGTTGTACACAAACAGTTTGTACAAATTAATACAAATGCCTAAAATAGCATGCATCCGCTAGTATATGCCAAGCGTGCCGAACGAGGGCCCCTGTTTGTGCGCATGAAAGACCCGAAAGACCAGATAGCATTTAATGTATGCGTGCGTGCAAGCTTATAAAAAAACAGCCTAACACATGCGAAAACGTACAAAATAGTAAGTAGTGGAATAGACCCAAACCAGGATGACGCCAAACGATGCAAGCGAGGCGCGATGGCTTGAGCCTAAACTTACAGTTCAACGATCGCTTCCGGGTCAGTCTCCGAGCAAGCTGGAGAAGGAAGCGGACTGGAAGCATTTGGTAAGCTGTCAGGTAAGTAGAACCAAAAGGACAGGAAGTCAGGAACCAGGACCACGTGGACACAGATAAGATCAGCAAGATGGCGACTTGTGAGTGACCGGAAGTAGTCACACTACACCTCACCAGACCAATAACAGTATGTGAGAGAGGATTGGAGGCCCTTAAAAGGGGACCCAAGCCCCTCCCACAATTACAGGCCTAGCCTTAAATATATATAATATACAATGTACACTGATCAGCCACAGCATTAAAACCACTAACAGGTGAAGTGAATAACATTGATTACAATGGCACCTCTTGAGGGGTGGGATATTTTAGGCATCAGATGAACATGCAGTTCTTGAATTTCATGTATTGTAAGCAAGAAAAATGGGCAAGTGAAAAGATTTGAGTGACTTTGATAAGGGCCAAATAGTGATGGCTAGACAACTGGGTCAGAGCATCTCCAATATGGCATGTCTTGTAGGTTGTTCCTTGTATAAAGTGGTTAGTACCTACCAAACGGGGTCCAAGGAAGGACAAACAGTGAACCTCTGTCAGGGCTATGGGCAAACAAGGCTCACAGATGCACCTGTAGAATGAAGGACTCTGGACAATATTATGTTGGGAAACCTTGTGTCCTGGCATTCATGTGGTTGTTACTTTGACACGTACCACATACAAATTGTTCAGGAATGGTTTGAAGAACATTACCAAAAGTTCAATGTGTTGCCTTGACCTCCA